CAGAAGGTCGGGTGGCTGCAGTACAGGGCAGAGGGGAGACGCAGGGTCAGAAGCCAGGAAAGAGGTGGGCCCCGGTGGGAAAGAGGTGGGCCCCCCTGGCTGTGGAGGGCTCTATTCTAAACTATCCCAGCACAGGGTAGAGGAGGCAGGAGGGGTGGTATGGGCCCTGGATCTGCCAACGGCTCTTCCTCGCTTGGCTGCACCACAGAGGGTGGGGGAGCTGTGTCTGCCTGAAGTCCCTCTTCCGTTAGCTGGAGCTTGGCTGTCCTTCCCTGTCCTTGACTTCACCTCTACCACCCCAGCCCCAACCCAGAGCCCCAGGAACTCGGGCCGGCAGGCTAGGAGTTAGCCAGGCACTCTCCCCGTGCTGCTGGCTCTCTGCCCCAGCTCCTGGCTCTGTTCACCTGCTGCCCAGCCCCGGTGTCACTCCCATGGACGTTGGGCAGAGGACAGGTCTGGCTTTGTTGGGACCCAGGTACCCGCCAGGCCTGTGGGTCCTGCCCCCACAGGGTGGCAGATACAGAGTGGAGGGGCGAGGAGGGGTGGAGCCTAGGACGTGGGCCACAGCAGAGTCCCCCGGGCTCCCTCTGGCCACTGCCCAGCAGGGTGCGAGGGCTGACAAGGAGTGACAGCGGAAGGTGTTCCAGGCCACCTTTCCTGCCTCCTCTCTCCCTTGGTCTCCACCCCAGTGTCCCTGCACTCTGCAGGACTGGGACTCTCTGGGACAAAGCCAGCTCTCCTCCTGGCCTCCGGGTCTCCCTTCTGCCTTCTTTCTCTCTGCCAGTCTTTCTTGTGCTCTGCCGCTGTTTCCTCCTGTGTGTTGTCTGGCTGCTTCTCAGGACCTCAAGGCCCTTTTCCATCCTCTTCTTTGTCCCCAGAAGCAGGAGGCAGGCAAGGGCGGCACCTCTGCTGTGGAAGGGTCCCCCGAGCAGGTGGCTGCACAGAGGGCGTCAAGGAGGGCACTCACGTCAGTTTTGGCTCTGCCTCTCAAGGGCTGTGTGTTGATGCGTCTATTAATAACCTCTCTGTGCCTCGGCTTCCTCCACTGCCCTCACAGCATCTAGAACAGCGAGGGGCATATTGTAGCACCTAATGCAGAACAGTCATCTTTCACTGGTCATCGTTCACTGGTCATTGGTCACCAGTCATTGGTCATCGTTGTTATTACTGCTGAGTGACTATGTTAGTCCAAGTGCTCTGAGGAATAAGATAGGGTCGCATGTGTGACGACTGTATCCGGGGAGATGCCTGCTGGAAAGGAAGGAGCCCAGGAGACTGGAGAGCCCAGGTTGCAATGTGAATCTGACCCTGGGGGAAGGAGGGGTCGGGGAGAGGGAGCCTGCCAGCTGCCTGCGTGCTGAGGGCACTCAGCAAGGCTGACAGAGAACCTGTGGGGCAAAGGTGGCTGGCCAAGAAGCGCCCGGTGTCCCAGGAGCCGCTGCCTCAGCGAGGCCTTGAACTTTGCCAGCAGTGGGACTGGGAGCGTGGTGGGCGGCGTGACCTCTGCAAACAGCAGTGGGCTTCGCAGCGCAGGCCTGCCCATCCTGCTCCCTGATGCAGGGGTCTACCAGACACACTCCCATGACATTGTGGAAACACAGGCCTCGGACTCCAGGGGGGCTGGGAGGATCCAGGGGTTCCCGAAGAGCCAGAGTGAGGATGTCAGTCTGTCAGGCTGCCTTCCAGGCCCGTGCTCGCCCCGTCTGATGGCCAGGTCAGCTTGGGGTGGGGGGAGGAGGAGGAGGCTGTCCTGGGAGGTCCTCTCTGGAGTTCGGGCACTGGGGGTGACGGGTGGGCAGAGGAGCTCACAGAATCATGGCAACAGGATGAGGCAGGAAATGACTATTCTTTGACCCCATTGCGTCCCCTGGTGTAGCCCTGCTCCGTTCTGCTGGGGGCAGAGCGCTGCCCGCCTGGTCTCTGCCACCTCTCCTTTCTCCGTGGGCTGTCTCAGTGCTGAGGGGGAAACTGAGGCTGAGGTGCCCTGGTCAGGGAGGGTCCCAGGTGGGGGAATTCAGGAATCCCCCTGGACTGAGGCTCCCACCCCAAAGTTCATGCCTTGAGGAAAGTGGGATGCCCAACATTGACCTTGGCTGTCCTCTGGGCTGGCCTGGGCTGGCCCGAGTGTGGGGCAGGGGTGCCCAGCGCAGCCGCCAAGCTGCAGCACCATTAGGGGAATGAGGTTGGAGCAGGAGTGGATATTTCTGGGCACTGAGCTGAGGCCATCTGTGGGAGGTCGGACCAGGCCCAGTTGGGCCAGACTGTCCCCCCCTGCACTGTCCCCCTCAGCTCCCTGTCCCTGTGGCAGGCAGCAGACTGCATTGAGATGTGTGAGGCACCCAGACGGCCTCTTGAACCCCAGCCACTCAATATGCTAAGCAGGGCTAATTTATTCCCTGGCCTCCTAATGGAGACGCAGCGCAGTGAGGCAGCAGGGAGTGGCGCGGCGGGTTGGAGGCAGCAATCTGGGGGACATGGAGTGGTCCTCGTGGCCCTCTGGGTCTCCACTCTACCTCCCCAGGATTCTGCTCCAACAGGGGGTTGTGCGGCCCAGAGGAGGGGCAGCCGAATGCGTCCTTTCTTCCTGCTTCCTAGCTGTCCCCAGCACACCGCTTGGTGTCTCTGGGGCTCAGCCTCCTCTGCTGTGAAGTGGGAGGACGGAGCCCCCTCCCTGGGCTGCTGTCAAGAGCCAGCTTCACAGTACAGTCCACGCTCTGCTCCAGGACGCAGTGTGTAGGTGGCCCTCTTCCCGTAGCCAGCACTCTGCCCTGCTTGGCATGTCCCTTCTTTCTTTTGTCACCCTCTGCAGTCTGGGAGCCTGAGTCCTGAGGTCAGCTGGGGGTGGGGGGGGGAGGAGCCTGTCCTGAGAGCTCCTCTCTGGAGTTCAGGCACTGGGGGTGACGGGTGGGCAGAGGAGCTCACAGAATCATGGCAACAGGATGAGGGAGGAAAGAGCATGCGCCTGGAGGTCTGGCTGATTGGTGGCAAGTGTGAGCTCTACCAATGACTAAGCTGCCAGCCTCGGTTTTCTCATCTGCAAAATGGGCATGGTAACACCTACCCTGCAGGGTTAGTGAGGAGATCGAGGTGGCTAAGGTCTGTAGAGTTCCCAGCATGTAGTAGGTGCTGGATAAACAATTTCCTTTTCTCCCTGAAAGGGGCCTACTGGGAGCTGGGGTTGTGGCTCAAGTGGTAGAGCGCTCGCTTAGCACCTGTGAGGCACTTGGTTCGATCCTCAGCACCACATAAAAATAAAAAAATAAAGATATTGTATCCACCTAAAACTGAAATGTAAATCTTAAAAAAGGGAGGGGGGGCTTCTGTGTCATCTGGTTGACCCTTTCACTTGCTGACTTGGCCATCAGATTTACCTCTGAGACCCTCAGAGGATGGGAATGGGGGGAGCCCTGGGTTTGGGGTCTCTGACTTGGCAGAAAGTCAGTCAGCGATAATGATAATAAACGGCTTTAAAACATCCTCATGTACTGCTCAGGGCAGCTCTGAGCAGTGACCTGGGCAGACATTATTACCCTAGTTCACAGACGGGGGGCTGAGGCCAGGGACGGGTGGCCGGGTCTCACCACTGCCAGCGCCGTCAGGATTCTTGGCCTCATGTCACCTGTTAAGCCAGGCGGCCCCTGGGCCTGAACCTCTTAGTGGGAAGGGGTTCCTCTGCTTTTTGTGGCCACTTGTAGCTAGAAGTCATTGTCGGTCCTCCTGGAACACCGGGTCCTGACCTTGAACCCTGAAGGCTCTGCCCCCTTTTCCTGCCAGAGCTGGGGAAGGGGAGTCTGTGACCTCTACTGTCTCTGGGGATGGGTGGAGCCAGGCTGGTGGCCCCTTTGCGCAGCTGCTCTTCCTTGGTTGCCTCCAGTGTGTTGGCACTTTTCTGTCCCCACCTCCGGGAAGAGACTCCTGGCCCGGCTTGCTTGCCCACCCCCCTGAGCGCATGAGTCCCTTCCCCCACTCCTACTGCAGCCCACTCCCCTCCCATCTCTGCCCTCTGAGCTCTTTAGATGCCTCTGGGCTGTGAGAACAGCCCCCATCTTGCTTCCCAGACCCCGTGACAGGGCATTTCCAGCTCTGGGGTCTCCCCTCGCCCCTCCCCCTCCTACCCCCATTTATCTCCCCCTCTGGGAGCCAGAGGCCCTTTGTGAAGCTCTTTGTGTGGATTTGAGCTCCCAAGGCCAGGCAGGGGGACAAAGGGACACCCCTCTCCCCTTTTCATTGTCCCCTCTTCCCGGGAGGCCCTGTGTGTGAGTGCGTGTGTGTCCCTGTCCCAGCTGGGTTATACGTAACCTGGGGGGCGGGAGGGGTCTGGAAAGGATTCAGGGGTGCGAAGTGATCTCGGTGCTGAACTGAGGCGGGTGGCCCTGGGGCAGAAAGGAGGCTGGGGTACTTGGAGGAGAGCCTTCAGGCCTGGGAGCAGGCTGAGAGAGAGGGCATTATGGACGTGGCCAGGGCGTCTGTCCCCGTCCCCACCTCCTCGGCCTCTCCCTGTCTTTCCACCTCCCGTCCCTTTCTCTGTATGTTCCCCTACCCCTTCTCCGTCCCTCATTTTCACCCTGGCATCTGCCTTCCTTGGCGCTGAGAGAGATGGGCCAGGCCCTGTCTCTGCCCCTAACTACCAGTCCCAGGGAGGCCCTCTGCCCTCTGCCTCCCTGTCCTGGGCCTCATTCCTCCCGCCCTTCCCCCACTCCGCGGGGCCTCCCCTGGGGGTGCTGCCTCCTCAGAGCCCCAGCCTCCACATGCTCCCCTTTACCCTGCCCGGCCTGATGACCCCGCAGTGTCGGTTAGCCCTGGGTGGCTGGCTGCCCGCTGGCTAAAAATAGACTCTGTCGGTGTGCTCAGGGCGTCTGGGCAGAGGCAGGGCCGCCCCGAGAGCCCTCATGGTTTCCCCAGGGCGCGTTCTGCGGGAGGGAGCCCTGGGTGCTCCCCACTTCCCCGCTGCAGTGGGGAGTCTGGAGGGCCCCAGTGACTCCTGGGAGGGACCTCCTGGTGCTGGCGGGGCACACATGGGCAGAGAGAGGCGGGCGAAGCGCCCCGACTCCTCGCTGGTAAGTGTGGGGGCCTGAACCCAAGAGCAGCCTGTGACACCGCAGGCAAGGTGCCAGTGCCGGAGGTCACAGTGGTGGCACTGGCTGCAGCTGGAGGGAGAGAGGAGCACCTTAGGCTCTGGGCAGTGGCGCCGCCTCTGGAAGCGGTGGCTTCCCACCTGGAGGTGCAGGGGGACAAAGGGACATCCTCTCCCCTCTCCTCTGGTCCTCCGTTGTTGGACAACCGATGCTGGTTGGTGGGCGACAGGCCAGAGGTACCAGGCGGAGTCTCACCTGGCAGCAGCCTTTTAAGCTCCGCCCCTTGGCCTCCCCTCTCTTTTTCCTGGCCTCTGCCCACCCTCCCTGAGTTCCAGCCTCCATTCCCTTGCTGGTCTCCCTATTGTTGCGAATCTCTCACTCAGACGTCCTTGGTCTTGAGAGACGGAGAAGACAGCCTTGCCACCTACCAGGTGGTCAGGAGGGCAGAGCAGGCGCAGAGGGAGCCCAGGCTCAGTCGGGCTCTGCGGGGGCCTGAGGGGCTGAAGGTTATCCAGACAGCACGGTCCTCTGAATATTCTCCCTCACCAGCCTCCGTTCTTGTTTCATGGTGACCCTGTCTTTATGTCCCCATCCTGTTTCTCTCTCCTTGCACAGTTGCTCTCACTCTCTACTGCTCCTCAGATTTGGGAGGGGGCCTGGGCTCCCCCCCTCAGTATCTAAACTCGGGTGGCAAAGGGTGATGGGTTGCCATTGGCTGTCGGGCTGGGCTGCTTTATGGGGGTGGCTCTGGTCAGTATCTGTGGGTCTCTCCTCTTGGGTTTGTTGGACACCCAGAGTCCCTACTTTTCCACCGGGACAGGATCAGGCCTGGCTGCCACTCACACTCAGCGAGCAGACACTTTCCATTCAGTGGCCACGCCCTCAGCTGGGCCTGGTGGCCAGGGCCAGGACCTAGGCCTCCTGCCTCCTTCGGTCAGGGAGGGCCCTGGACCCCTGTTGCTTCTCCAGTGCTCTGCCTCCTCCTGATTCAGGTTCGCCGTCACCCGCTGCCTGCAGGTAGTGGCCCGTCCTGAGCCCTTGGGGGCTGTGCTGTGAATCAGCTGCTTCTTGGCCGTCCCCAGCAGCTCCAGGTTCTGCATCCCTGGGCTTGGGGCTCCCACTCACCCATCGCTCTCCAGACCCCAGAATTTTGACAAGGTTGTCGGGGTGATCATCAAACTATGGAACAAGTGATTCCAGGGACTGGGCTGGGAGGTGGCAATGGGGCCCTGGGGCCCTGGCGGGGGTAGGGGGGACTCTGCCCTGTCCTTGAGGAATCCCAGGGAGGCCTGGAGCCTGGTGCGTGTGTGTGTATGTGTGTGTGTGTGTGTGTGTGTGTGTGTGTGTGTGTGTGTGTGAGCATGCGCAGGCGAGTGTGAGCTAGCGTGGGCCGTGGCTCTTTCCCTGCTGGGTGGAAGCGATTCCCAGTTCTGCAGCTGCAGGGCTGGACCTGCCCCCAGCATCTGCTCCAGTGTGGTGTCCTTTCTTTCCCTCCAGGCAAAGAATTCCTTGTGCTTTAGTGAGAGGAAAACAAACAACAACAACAACAACAACAAGCCCAGGACGACTGTTTCTGTGGGGTTTTGAAAGGAAACAGTCTGTCCCATCTGCCCCATCTGCCCCTTCACCTCTCTGGGCTCAGGCATGCTCCCTGTGAGAGTGGGTGGGGCCCAGGCCAGGAAGACGGCAGGGCAGGAGGATTCCTCTTCTGGAGGGTTTGTTGGACACCCAGAGTCCCTACTTTTCCACGGGACAGGATCAGGCCTGGCTGCTACTCACACTCAGTGAGCAGACACTTTCCTTTCAGTGGCCACGCCCTCAGCTGTGCCTAGTGGCCGGGGGCCAGGACCTATGCTTCCTGCCTCCTTCGCTGGACCTAGATGTGGGCTCCCCTACTCTCTTCTTCCCAGGTCAGTTGTCTCAGGTGAGTGTGAGACCATCTTGAGGTCATTCATAGGATAGTGAGTGAGAGCAAATTGGGCTTGAAAACTGCAGAAGGGAGGAGGTCAGACTTTAGGAAGCACTTCCTCATCTGCCAGGGCTTGAAGCCAGAGAGATGGGATGACCTAGAGGCTATGGAGTCTGTCTAGGAAGCACTGTAAAGCCACCGGACCTGACTCCCTGCTGTTGATAAACGGGCTCGCCGGTGGGACTCTCTTGCTCTTTGTATCCACAGAGAGACTCTCCCCTTAGGAGGCAGGGTGTCCTCTCTGGGGGTCATGGGGCAAGGCCCCTGCAGAAGGAGTGGGAGGGGTAAAGGCATGAGGGTTTCTGGGGGCCTAGAAAGAGACCCCAACCTGGGAAAGGCCCCATGAGGCCTCTTCCCTGGCTGGTGGAGGAGGGTTGGGGTGATCCTCACCTTTAGGTTGGCCCCTGAACTGTCCTCTCCTTCTGGTCAAATTACCCAGGCAGAGAATCCCCTGGCCATCAGCTCATTCACAATGTGGTGTGCTGGCCATGACATCTAGGTCCACAATGGCCAGGGACTCTCTCTAATCCCCCTCCCTGTCCGTCAGAGTGCTCAGCCTGGGTGCTCCACTCCTCCTCCCAGAGTCAGAAAGGAAGGGCACCGTCTGCTGCTGGACTGTCACAGGCGACTGGCCAGGTGCCGGCCTGGTTGGAGAGGGTTCTGAGGGATGGAAGCAGCTGCCTGGAAGGGAAGTGGCCTTGGTGTCCCCCAGGGGATCCTAGATGGCTCTGGATGACAGGAACAGGTTTGGGTTTCTGCAGGGGAATCCATACGGAGGGTGTGGGCCATGAGGTTGGAGATCCATGTGGTTGGAGATCCAGGCCTGGGGAGGAGGCCCTGCCTGGTTTTCTCTGGAGGTGTGAGGGGCTGCGATGCTGAGACTTGGCTGAGGGACGGAAAGCAGAAGGCACAACCTCAGCTGGGTTTAGAAGAGGGGCAGGTGGGACGCAGGGTGGACACAGGCCTCTCTGGGAGTGCGGTGCCTCTTTGGAAGTGTCGCCTACTTTTTTATTGAACACTCCTGCTCAGTCCTGGCCCATTTCCTCTTGTTCGTCCTGTGGGGAGCCCTGGGCATCAGGCTGGGCTTCTTCCTCTCTCTCCTCTGCTTGAGAAGCATTCTCCATTCCCCCTCTTCTTGGGTCCCTTGTCCATGGACGGTGGGAGTGGACGTGTTTTCCAGACAGGAGTTCTGGCCCAGGGTTGTGTCAGAGAGCACTGTCCCGTGGGTGTGCGTGGGCAGTGTGCAGCTGGCAGACCCAGGAAGGGCTGGCGGTGAACTTGCCCAGGGCACCTGTCCTGGCCCTGGGCTCTTGAGGTATTTGTCCGGGAGCTCCGGAGGGCACCTTGATGAATCACACCGGTGACAGGCATTTTCAAATCATTGAATCTGCACGATGACCCCATGAAGTGAGGATTCTCCATTTTACAGAAGAGGAAACAGGGGCTCACAGCAGGGGAATAATCTTCCCAAGGTCACACAGAACCCAAGTGCCAGACCCGGGATTTGGACCTGGCCTCTTTGCGGGCTTTGTACCTGTCTCCTTGTCTTTGGGAGGTCAGAGTAGGGACATTGGAGGTGATGCTCCCCTGGGCTTTCACCTGGGGTGTTCTCAACAGCTTGGGGAGGTAAAGGCAGACACAGTGGTGCCCATCTTGCAGATGAGAACACTGCGGCTCCCAGAGGGACTGTGCCCTGAGCTGGTCCCTCCACAGTAGCAGAAGGCCCCTGACGTGGCGGGCTGGGCTGTCCTGCTTCAGAGACCTCTCTCGTCTGCCGGGGCTAGGCTTGCCCTGTTCTGTCCTGAAGCTCCCAGACAGAGGGGGAATAGAAGGAACCAGAAGCTGGATTCAAAGGGATTACATGGAGGGTCTGGGACCTTTGGGGTGGGAAGAAGAGGAAGTCGAATCATGCCATTCAAGCCCGGGAAGAAAATGGAAGTCTGCAGCTTTGATTCAAGGTTGGGGAGGAGGACAGAGTCCATCCAGGGCACTGAGGTGTCTCTCCTGCTTCTAAGGAGTGGTGAGGGATGCACATCTGGGTGTGCTTGCAGTCCCCAGGAACTTGTTCTGGGCCTGACCCCACTGTGGCCTCCTAGGCAGGGGCAAGGGCCATAAGATCCCTGGCCCTGGGTGTCTGGCTCCTGACCACAGCGGCTGCAGCTGGACCTTGGAGGGTTTCAGTTCAGGCTCCCTCTGGGTCAGTCCCTTCTAGGGTCAGAGACGGGAGTCCCCAGGAGCCCCCAGCCCTGCTGTTTCTGGAGCCCGGGGTTGAAGCCATGACTGTTTGATTCGGGGCCTGGGTTCCCTGGCTGGCACCCTGTGGCTTCTCTCCGCTCCTGTCCTCCCCTCCCCTCACTCAGCCTTGGCTGCCCTTGGCAGGTGGGCAGGAGCATCCACCACCCGCCCAGCTGCTTCACCTCCAGCTCGCTCCTGCCCTCTGCTTTGCTGGTCTCCCTGTCACTCGCGCGGTTCATTTATTTACGGGATCGCAGCCCACGGCCTCCTCCTCTCCCTCTGTCTCACTTGGGGGCTCTTTCTTGCCTCTGGTCCTCAACTCAGTCTTGCAGCCACCTGGGATCTGTCTCTGCCACCTGGCTCCTCCCAGCCTCGTTCCTTCTAGTTCTTTGGACATCTGTAGGACACAGGCTGAGGGCCTGGGCTGAGCAGGGAGTGGCCCTGTCCTTGGGTCCTATTCCTGGACCCCCTCCTCACACTGCAGAAACGCAGGCTGGACATGGGCCAGGGAAAGAGCCCAGTGAGTGACCCAGGGGAAGGGGACAGGGTGGCAGTGAGCTGGGAGGGAGGAGGTCTCAGCCTGGAGAACGGGGGAGGGGAGGCAGTGGCTGGACTGGAAGTGGGTGGGACCTGGTTATCTGCCTGCTCTGCCTCCCTGCGCCTGTCTCTCCCTCCTGGACTCTCTGCAGTCACTGCCGCTGTCTCTGCCTCTGTGTCATCTGGGCTCCGAGGACGGGGAGTTAAAGCCAGCTTCCCTCCCACACCCAATCACCCTCCC